ACACACACTGACCCCATATCTCACAAACAATGCCACCAACCATCAACTGTCATCTTTATTCAGTGTCTTACTCGCTCCATAATCACCAGCACAGACGGTGCACAGCCACCGTGCAGCTACAGGAAGTCAATGCAAGGATTCCTGTTGTCATTGTTTTATATTCTAAAATACGACCGCTTTTACTTTTATGTACTAAGATGAAAATGCATATAGCCTTTTACCTAACACTTCAAAAGCAGGATTTTTTAATGGGTATTTTGAGATTGTTGTATTTCTTTGTTCCCTTTGAGAATTTGTATTATCCATCCAGGGGTGGGCGTGTCCAGACTTTTTTCGACTGGGGTGGCCCGACTGGCTTATAACTTAAGCTTAAAGACGTAAGACATTCAGTATATGTCTGCACACACAAATGAATAACCCTTTTTTAATCCCCTCTATTCATATAAATTATAGAGTCGTACGTCCAAAGTTACAATTAAAAGTACTACATTGGAATGCAAAGAAAGCTCCTGACAGACTGTTCCCCAAACAAACCCCTAAATACCTTGGGGTGGCACCGGGGGGGGTCCATCGGATCTTAAAGTGGGGTGCATGCCACACATTGCCACCCGTCTGGACATTCCCCTGGATCCATCATTGGGATCAATAATAAATAATACAAATATATAATAAAAAAATAATTACATTAAAAGTTTATTTTCTTCATTTTCTCTGCCTTTCTGGTCAAATAAATCTTTACATTATTTGATGTGCAGTGTTTGTTTTTGTGAAGAATCCCTCCACTGTTTCTGAGATTTCTCCGTCTTTTATCCTATCCAGGAGTTTTTGTGGTAAGTTTCCCTATATGAAATGTTCTCACTATTGGTGTGCTCTGTGTTATTATGATATTGTAAGCCCTCTAGTCTAAGGCCACTGAATACTGGAGCGTATAAAAATCGAATTACTTTATTTCATAGTCAGAAATGTTTACTACATATGTCAACAGCATAGACAGACACTGTAACTCACAAACTATTTGTCCGCTTACAAACTCTGGACAACATCTGCCTCTTTATACCTTCTTTTTCCAGGGGCGTGTCCAAACTTTTAGGACTGGGGTGGCCCGACCGGAGCACTGACTTTAGACTGTATTTCCTTTCATGACATGTTCACACTGTTGGTGTGCTCTATATAATTTAAAGATTGTAAGCCCTATAAGGCCGAGGAATAAATGTTTTATCTACCCGGTTACAAACTCTGGGAGTCATCTGCTGCTTTATACCTTTTTTTTTTACTTAAAAATGTTCACTTCCAAAGTAAAAAAAATAAAAGTTTTAGTATCATCTCAGACAGATGTTTAATCATCTGATCATGTGTTTTTTGACATCATAAACATCAGCCTGTGATCACTTGTGCAGTGTTGATGGATGTAATTTAATGCAAAGATACAACTCAATGTTTAGCAGTATCTGAGGCCCTTCATTGTGTTGATAAATTAGCAGCATCATTCATCCTTGAGTTTAGATAACAGAATAAATCGTGCTCGAACCGCCTGCTGTCCAAATGACTCCTGGAATATGTTTGGTTCGACTTGCTGGATGTTCTGGAGTCCAGGTTTAGATCACAGAGGGATCAAGCAAATTATTGATCTTGCACTCAATTCTTGAAAAGTACTGTTGGGGCTGTATTATTTATTATGATGTATTTATTGTTATGTATATAGATTGTTCATTTTGTCTTTTTATGTTTTTATGTTTTATGTGTGGCCTCCAAAAAAATGGTCGAGGGTAGTGTTCAGGTTAGTGCACATAGGGTATCTGGGGGGAAGGTGGCTCACAGCTCATACCCTCATTGACTGCAGGCTGAATGACTGTTTATGATTAGCATCAGCATTTATACAACATCAAATCAGGACATGAAAGCAGAAGAGTTTTGTTTTACATTTCAGGCATATTTCAAATAAACCACAGCAACTTTCAACATCAACTCTCTTTTGATTTATTTTATGGGAGGACATTTGCATGTGGTGAAACTTAAGGATGTTGGAGGACAGCTTACAGGACAAACCTGATATTTATGTTTTTGCCTCTTCCAGTACTGTTCTCTGTAGTAATTTGTAGTTTGTATTTGATCTTCCAACATTTCTTCTGTTTAAACGCTATTTAAATACACATTTTTACAGATTTGACAATAAAATCTCCATGTCCAGAATGCATCTCTGTGATTCATTAATCTGGTTATCCATCTATGTTCATTGTTCCTGTTGTTTTTAACTTTGTGATGATAAAGCATATTACTGTGATCATTTGCACGCAGCAGCTACTGCAGCAGCATCATCTGTGCTCTTAGCTGCTTTTAATAATTCAGCAACTGCATTAATCTTTTTGTCTGATAAACAAGGATCAATAACATTCAGTCAGTTTCCTCACATGCCCCGCACTGTCCCTGCTATAGTGATGCAGATTGTCAGTTAAGGCAGTGGTGTTCATAATGTATATGGCTGTGGTTTACTGGCTGAGGT